GTTTTTTAGAAACAGGGTCTCTGTCATCCAGGCTAGAGTGCAGTGGCATGATAATAGCTCACTATGACCTCAAATTCTTGGGCTCAAGCAATCCTCCCACCTCAGCCTTCCGAGTAGCTGGGACTACAGGTGCATGCCACCACACCCAGCTAATATTTTAAAATTTTTTTGGTAGAGACAGGTCTTGCTATGTTGCCTAGGCTGGTCTTGAACTCCTGGCCTCAAGTGATCCTCTCTCCTTGGCCTCCCAAAGTGCTGGGATTATAGGCATGAGCCACCTTCTCCAGCCTTTTTCTTTTTTTTAGAGACATGGTCTCACTCTGTCATCCAGGCTGGAATGTAGTGATGTGATCATAACTCATGGAAGCCTCAAACTCCTAGGCTGAGGTGATCTTCCCAAGTAGCTGGGACGATAGGTATGTGCCACCATACCCGGCTAATTTTTAAATTTTTTTTGCAGAGATGGGTTCTATGTTGCCCAGGCTGGTCTCGAACTCTTGGCCTCAAATGATCCTCTCACTCAGCCTCCCAAGGTGCTGGGATTACAGGTGTAAGCCACTGTGCCTCACCTGTTTTGATTTTTAATCAAGAAATCATCTACAGTATTTGTATCAGTGTGTAATAGGGCATTGCTTCACAATATATTTTATGAGAAATTTTGTTTGTATAAAAACCTCATAAAATGTGAAGATGATCATTGACTACGCAACTCAGATTTTGCAGTTTATTTTGAACTATATTATCCATAACACCAATGAAGGGAAACCAAAACATTCTTTTACTTTTTTCCGTTAATGTCACGTAGTGGAAGACTTGAAAATTGTGAGTCTATACTTGGTATTCACAAGAATGTTGATTTTAAATTATGCCTTCTCTATCAGTTTCAAGCCTTCTGCTTCCCAAAGGAAAGCTGTAGGTAGAAATTAATCATTTTCTTTTTATTTCCCTCTATTTTTGTAGTTTTTTTCTTCCAATTTGCCATAAGATGTCTTGCAATCATAGTTAACAAGGATATCTATTTAAAAAATTAAAAAAAAGTTGATTGAAAGTAGAGAGAGGATACTTAGAGTTTTAAGTTGCGGTTAAATGATAGAAATTCAATTTATATGTTATGCTTAGATTTTTTTTGAAAGAGTTGTTAACAAGTTTTTGTATTTTAACTTTATTTTAAGCAAGATTTCTAAAAGAAGGAAGCCTTTTTAAAAGTTAAAATTGTGTTTATTATAAAGAACACAAAAATAGAGTGAAGTACTAAAAAAGCTTGTTGAATTTCTGGGTGCATGGGCAGAGCCTACAGATTGTTCAGCTTCCTTGTGAAATGATGGGTTTTTTTTGCTAGGTACTCCTAAATGTCATTATTTATAACTTTTTTTTTTTTTTCTGGAGCTCTCTGAGTTCCTGCTTGGATATATGAACTTGGTTGATAGCATTATAGATCTGGGTTGGGCAGAATAGGAAGAGGAAGGATAGGCTGAGTCTCACAATATATAATATATGCTGACTTTACCATTATATCTTTTATTGCCACCCCTCCCTGTGCCTGGAATACCCATGTTTAGAGATTACCTTTTTCTATTTGATATGTTTCTGTTTCATGCAAAGATCGAGTGGGGTTAGTTGGCTGTCAGGGGAGTAGAGTCCAGGATGGGAGGGTTGGGTGGACCAGATGAAAAGCATATAGACAAGTACATAAAATAATTATAGGTGATGATAAATGCTAAGGTGTCATATTTAACTTTTTATATCTGTAATGTATTATTTAAATGTTTCATTTTAGGTATCACTACTATTGAAGCAAAGCACTGAGAAAGAT